AAAATTGAAATAGTTAGGGTTTAAACGAGGCTTATGCTGGAAATAACGCGTAGTATTGCGAAAACCATTTATAGCGACGGAAACACAGATAGCTACTTGTTATGGAATTTACGCAAATCAACGATTTGATTTGAGGAATTACTGATTCAAAATACAACCTAAATTAGTAAGGGTTTAATATTGTCAGATTGTTGGTGAAGTACCGAGGAAATTAGCAATTGTTCCAATTACACAATTGGAATTACACGAGCCTGTTTTCATAGGAAGTTCTAAAAATAACAATATATAATATCGCGTGGCTTGAATCGAATAGCGTAGCTAAAACAGTAAAACACCGCGGATATCACAGTTGCTCTTATGATAAAACGATTACTTTTCTTAACTACTTGATATACGGGTCTGGTTTATACATTACCCTGTATAGGTTCCCAAGATAATAACAACCACAATCAGCTTTATCAATGCATATTCCACCCTCGTCTAAGACGAGACCTTCTTCACAGAAACAACCTTCAGTGCACCGCTCAGTACATGACCCAATGGGATAAGGATCCAAACAAGACGCAGGGCATTCTGGTCCACATGGGGTATATGCCATACCAGGTGGACATTCGACCTCTGACAAATAAGAAACGAATAGACCTAAGACAATGGCAACCGAGATCTCGTTTAGAGTGAGAGGGCCACGAGACTAGTTTTTGTCACTAAAATAGTATCCAGTCACGTTTTCTCACGCTCAACGAGTTCTCGTGGGCTATTGGCGTCTATCATCGTAATTGTTGATCACAAAACTCCACGAACGAAATGGTGGAAGATAAATCTAAACATAATCATCATATCTTTTCTAGGATATAGACGAGCCATAGAATCACATTGATACTTTTCCGTCACAGGGCGATCATTTTACTGGTGGATTGCAATGTGATACAACATTAACTCGTCAAACTTACCACATACGGTTCCGGTCCGCCAGTCTCCAATTGTCAAACCTTCATTTATACATTGCGCCACATAATCTGCCACAACAGCACATCCTCCAGTTACAACGGGAAGTGAGAGTTCAACGTCCATCTCACAGGAAAAATGGTAATTTGCCGGATCAACAGTGTTCACACAACTCGGTATATTTCCTGTAGTAAAATACAGAGTGTAATATAAGACGATGAAGATATCTAAATAACAATCATGGTTCATACAAGGGCATACCGGTGCAAAATTTAACGCACTGACTTCTTCCTAAACACGCATCTTGAATAACCCTTTTTTCCTTGAACACGAGACGAGATCTTGATGATATCCCACGCCCATGGGATTAATCCACTATTTGTCCGAAAGACGGCAGAGTACTACCTATTATCAGCATGCGGTTCAACATGCAAGCACAACGTAGCCACATACACATATTGAAACTAAAAATATACAACTCACAGTCTTTGCTAGGCATGCGCATATACGCATTAAACCTTCATAATATTAAAATATATTCCAACGCCAAAATTGACAAAATCAAACATATCCAGCCCACAGTGAAGACAAAATTACCACACTTAATGTGGACCATACCTGAGTTGAACAACGAATCACATAGTTCTTTAGCATCTTCAGCTAAACCACGTGGTGGTAAATCTTCTTCGATGGATCGTTTTTTTGTAGGTTCACAATTTTCTGCCCAACTATCTCCAAAGACATTAACATTTGTAACCTGGTACGAATATAAATCACTTCTATAACTTATATATTTTTCGTAAGAGTAAATGTGCATAGAAATCCCTATCGTAGTTGTAATATACTGTGAAGAAAAAAAACTGTATACAAACGGCTGTAATATATTATTTAATTATCACATCCCACTGCTGTTACGCATGCTGTGATTGGTTGAGACTCAGTCACATGACATTGAATAAAAATGGATATTACATCGTGTGTTACATGGGTATATTACATAGATGACGTCACTGACACGACTGTGCAACGATACTGCGCATTACAAATTGTCGTTCGCTGCATTGGTGCTGCCCCAGACGCTGTAGTTTTCGGTGTTGCTTTCAAGGTTTTGAAAGAACTTTACCCATCCGAAATAGACAGTGAACATGAAAGAATGGATATTAAGTAGGATACTCTGTTTTGATGTTTAGGATATTTTTATATGAAGTAAAAATGTACGGCAAAGCCGTCGCAGCCGTGGTCGCTGTGGCGCGTTCTACCAGGCCCCTTTATACTTTTTTCGTTATCCGTTATGAGGGCTTTTTAATTGCTGGTGATGCGTTCTCAGGATTTTTAATTCATGGTGATTCGTTCTCAGCTAATTTCTCGTTCTTCGTTATTGGATGTAATGAATTCCAGGTGATACGTTTTCGCAACTTCTCTGTACACCTGAGTGTTTTTTTTTATACACTCGTGTACTTGTAGTATGAGAGAGTTCTTCCCATTAGTAAATTCTCCCAGTCGTTTCGAAGTGTATGGTGATCTTTTACCAACCAAATCTACTGTTCTATAATGATTAATTATTGAAATATGGCGACTGTTGAGAAAGAAGGAGATCACTACGGCGGGTAAGTTGTATTGCTTTTCAGTAAAAATCACGTATACATAAATAGCAAGTTTTGAAATAAAAAAAAATGTCGCGAACATTGGTACTATATTCAAGTTGTGTGCGAAGTTTATACCGTCCCGGCGTTACCGCGTAACTTTTCAAACATAGGCCTACGCATTGGTGGTGTGGCTAGGAAATACTTGAGGTTTCAAGTACATCTTTTAATGCTAACACGCTTTATTATATGATAAATTATAGTTTTCTTCTAAATTGTCCTATTGTTTATTTATTCCTTATTACGTCATAGTCCAAGGGAATATTAAAGGGTTCACCACTTTTAATAATGTATAGTAGATAAAGAAAAAATGTCAAAGCGTTTTTCTCCTGTTCTAGGGATGTATATTATTAGATTTAATTTTGAATTATTCATTTGAGAAAAAAGTTTAATGTGCAAATTATTTCATACTTATGAACCCCCTACCCCTCATAGTTAACGATTTCTATTTATTTACGAGTTAAAGTCATTATTTGGCTTCAATATATGGAGGGTAAAACAGAGCCATCACATAAGGAGAAGTCAATTGTGTACATAGATCCGAAAGTACAATACTACTTAAATGATGTGAATTAGTTTCATTTTTTTTAAATATCCATTGTAATAATAATAAATATATAATATAACTTTGTAACAATGGGGCTATTGGCAATGAAATCCATGCACTTTTAGACTTAACCATACTGGAATAACAAATGCTCGTACTGAATTTCTGAATGTAGTTAGCATTTATAATGAAAGTATCCTTAAACTATCAAAACAACAAATGTTTACAGAAATTTTAAATTCGAGAGATGGGTTCATTGCCAATAGTGCTAGCAAATTTATTGACAGCATATTATTTTACTATAAGTAATTTTTCTTAGACTTTAGTTATTTATGTATTTTTTTTTTGTCTCGTGTGTGTACTTGCGTTTTGTTATATTATATATTTATTATATGTCTTTTGACCAAAGATAATGTAACAAAATATATTATTTAGTGTCAAATAAAATATACTATACTATACTATATGGGTTATACTTAACTGTGTATTTATTGTGTTTTAGGTGTTGACATTTCTTCAGGACTATTTGGATTTAAAACAGATTGCAACAGAGAAAGGCATGGGTGCAAACAGTGTATTATTTAGTATAATAGACCAGTCCATTTCAGAAATATACAGTGTCAGAACTGTGGCAAGACTGGTTGGTGAAATTAAGACATCAAACCAATGATACATATAGCATACAATGTGAGTACATACATTGAATTTACCAATGTCATATTACTATGGTCTATATAGTAGTCATTGAAGAGTAGGACATTTTCATGATTTATAGAATGTGTAACTGCGATTCCCATATTCCCACTAACTCGCTATAGTTACATGACAACACTGCAGTGGATACAAATAATGTTTTACACACATAAACTGAAAGCCATTGTATTAACCTATTGGAAACATTTTTAAGAAGTCAATTGTGCATGCAAATGTTGCTATAATGTGTGTAGTGTTGACAGCCAACTATCGGCCTATTGAAGATTAAACTGATGATAACATTTTGCAATATTATTTCCTTTTTGTGTAGTGGCACTAACCGAGAAAATTGTGAAATTGCAGAAAGGATGTGCAAAACCAGTGATAAAAGATGGTCTTCCAACACCCGATAGCACTGTAGCATTTATACACCAGAAAAAAAAGAGGAAGAATACAGAGTGCCAAAAGTCCAGAGGATAAGAAGCTAATATAATAATAATAATAACTTTATTACGCCGTATTGTGAAATTACATCTCAATTTTAGCCAATTGTAATAAAAATATAACAAAAAGAAGTAACTAATATATGCATTGCGAAATGAAAAAACAGTTGATAGAAACGACAGACAACAAGCTGAGTTAGAAGAGCTGACCAAATGTACCAGTGCATAGAGAGACATGATTTGTCAGATGGGTCAGCTGTCGAGAAGGACACATCTGAGAAAACTGATGAGTAGAGAGAAGAATATAGTAGAGATGAAAACAGTGGTTCAGAAACTGAGGAAGTAAATAACACAAGAAGTGACATTCCATGAATTGCTGAACAAAGAGAAGCAGGGTGTGCACGATAGGTTGGCACTTGAACAGAAAGCAACTGCGGAAACTTTTGCACAAAGGGTCGACTACAGTAAAGATTAGAACAGCAGTTTAGAAACGGAGGAGATCATGAAGATCAGTTAAGAAACTTGCCATTTCTGTCTAGATGTCTAACTACTATGTCTGGCCGAGCAATCAAAGTTAATGTCAAATATCTTCAATAAATGCTTTTATATTTAACAACAATTCCTGGTGATTGGTGAATAGGTAATTGGAATCCCTGGTGATTGGTGATTTCCCTCTTTAAATATTGGTGATCGGTGATTGGGAGGGGGTATAAATGGGCCTGTTCTACGCTGTGAGCATTTCTTCAAGTTCCACGCCGATGCTAACCGAAAACTGTATGAAAGCTGTGTGACTTGTGAATAGAAGGTGTGGTACTTAGGTGCGAAAGTAATCTCAGTCACTTCCACGGCACCCTGGCATTTTTATCTTGAGATTTATCAAATAACTTGCGTTTGAGAATTTCTCAATTCATTTCAAAAATGTTATTCTCGATAAATTGATTGATTCACACTGCTGAAACACGGTTACTAAAAAGGGTATCCGTGGCTGAAAATAACATTTACTGAGTGTATTTCATATTTTTCAGCAAACAATGTATGTGTGTTAAGTAGTGTGAAACTTGTTATAATAGATAAAATAAAATATTGCCTACTTCAAATATAAGTGTTGTTATTTTGTGGGGGAGCGAGTGTGAGTGATGTACGGCGTGGCATCATCAATATTATGGCCATGCCACCATACCTTGGGCAGGCAACAAATCGTGATATTACCCGAATAACCATGTGTTATTATTTAAATATATACGTATTGTTGTAAGCAATAACAGTGACAATTTGAATATAACTCTGACCTGGGTACCATCTGGCTGTATAAACTCGTCTCCAATATTACCATTAAAGTTTCCGCATAGACCGCACACTTTCCCACTATGCGCACTTGATACATCTACGTAAACTCTGTATACTCCGTCCCATCTAACTCGTATTCCATAACCAGTTGTTACGATCTAACAGTATAAGGATAAATAACGAATCAACTTGTGACTAAATCATACACACTCACTCACGATACACTAGGATATAATGTCTCAAATCAACTTACCAAATAAGATCCAGCTAATGTTATTGTTGTGTGAGGTGACAAGGTGACAGGTGGCAAGACCACGACACCATTAACTATTATTTGCTTTCCTTGTTTCAAGAGTATATTCTATAAAATAAAAACACCGTATTGTGAATATTCGAGCTATGATTAGCACATGGATTTTAATAATAACAATAATGACATGTCAAATCAATATTTCAATCTATGAATAATCAGCAGTATGCCAGTTAATTACGTACATACTCCTTACACAGCAGCCTGACCTCCTTCGTCGTGGTTGCAGCAGATGCGCCCCATGGTTGATTCTTACCAATAATTTGAAAATCATAGGGTGAAAGTGGACATTGAGTATTTAACAATGTGTATTCACATTTCCCCTGGAAGTGGTAATATTTGTTGTCGAAAGACGTATAATGCGGATCTCCGACACCACTGCACGTGTCTTTACCTGCAACAATATGTCATATTACTCATCCTGGTAAGACATGCTCAATCACAAAATATGAGAATGCGTACTGAGTTGTGATCCACTACTCAACTTTATAATTGCATATGGGATTCGTTACATAATCTATATATTCATCATCATCATAAAATATAATAAATTGGGGAATGACGTCGTTTCAAGTTGTTTAAACTTTGTGAAGGTATTATTTGAAAAAAATGGGGGACGGTACACTCATATACGTGTCAATCATCAATTCTAGAACACTCTGTTGAAATATATCATATTCAGTTTCTCTATGATACTGATGTGATGGTACATTTTAACGCAATTTTACCTGAGCAATCGTCCATATACTCTGGGCAGCAATCGCCATGTTCTATGCACTTGTCGTCACACCAGCAGTTGCGGTGAACGATTTTTTGTCCACATACGTCTTTGCAGAACACTGCCAAAAATATAACATTGAAAACGACAATAGTGTGAACGTCGTGTTGGAATAGGCATTACAAAATATTGATTTTGCCAATTATCAACTCACTTTTTTTACAGCAAATAATAACTGGATCAAGCGGCTCCCCGCCCACCTCGAAACAATCGTCCGCATGGGTACAGACACGACCTGAGATAGGCGTTCGAACATGTGACAATCTACAAAATCCATAATCAGAACCAGTCGGACACTCCCAATCTATAATAACAATTGCACAAGACACAATAGTCAGTCAATACATCATTAAATTTGAGCTGTAGTATGGTATAGGTGATGACAGAGATGACTTTAAAGTGACACATAAGTCACTGCTATTAGCATCGCCACCGACGTAATTTTTAACATGGCTTGCAAAATGTAATGGTTTTAACTCTTCATGGATTGCACAGTTCCATTGCATATTTATTATTACTTAACGGAAACATAATCGAATAAATATAAATAATGTAAAATGTGCATAAACCAATCAGGGCGGGATTCATCTGCTAAGTACACAAAGTGTGAATGGCAGAATATTTCAACCATCGAATTATCCGTAGTTATCACCATCAATCCTGTATACGTCCATCTTGTTTAATGTTCCCTTTCCAAATCGGCAACCGCCAGATGTCCCACTGCCATTGTAGTCATCGGGCGTTGATGCAGCATGACACTTGCCGTCAAGAAACACAAAATACGTGTATCCTTCATCATATGCTGCCCTTGCACAACTCTGTAATATTAACAGTGAGGAGTCATTTCATATCACAACGCAATCAATAAACATAATGTTGTCAAGCAATAAGATGAACATGTTGTTAAAAGAGACAATTTTACCACATGTTGGCTGAATTTCCCCCAGAGCAGGTCTCTACACTGCTTCTTGATTAATCGAGTTCAATAGATAGAAACATAACGGGTAAGAAATTAGTGAGATATACAAATTCAAAACTGTTGTTTTAATAAAGAATCCCGCATATAGCTACATATATAATATGTATATATAGTTTATACTCACCCTGACTTGATCAGTAGGATCCAGATATGGATTACCGCCTCCTTCTAATAACGTGACTTGAGTTGTTTCTTTCCAGCATCCTACGTGCTTATAATCTGTAAAAAAAAAAAGCATATTCATATACAACATTTGTTTGTACCATTGTATACTTATACAAATGTATGCAAGAAATGTACTCACGACTTGTCAGCAATGTATATAGGATATAAAAGACAATTGGTAGATTTGTCAGGTGATATGTAGACAATAGCAGTTAATTTCATGACAACCACTATGAGTAATATATTCGACAAGCTCGAAATTAACACGAGTACATATCAATATATAAACACCCAACATTCGTACATACAACCACAGTAACCGCTCAAAACGACGTCTAAGATGACGACATGCAATAAACGTGATATTGACAGCATCCTTCGTGTTTGTAATCTGTAAAAAGACATATTCATATACCCCAGACATGCAATAAACGCAATATTGATTGACAAAAAATAGTTTTAAAACAATTTGCAACGACTGTTGTGCATATTAGGAAATCACTCACCTATCTCAAGCGGACAATCGATTGTCATACATGATCGAATCGGGCATGGTGGTGTAGCACACAACTTAGTTTGAGTACCACCACCACAGGTTACAGTACAGACATCCCACGCTCCATTAACAATCCCTAATAATAGGGGAAAATGAAAAAAATAGAGAATGTACACCTGCATATTGCTCAAATAATGAAAGAAATCTTGAACATAATGTCATAATATTCTATAACTACGGACACTGTAACACCAAATTTCGTATTAACGCATTCTCTAAAGTTTATTATTTGAGTAATACATCGATGCGATCAATTACAAATGATAGAAATCACACACTGCTTACATACCTAGAATTGTGAAAATGTACAACACACGTAACAGTTGTAAAGACTCCATAGATAGCTGGTGACAAAATGAAATAAATTTTCAACAAGTTGCTGCATAGCGTTTAAAATGGACTGTGATTTCAAGTAGTCGTCTTTCTGTGACAAGATACGAGATGGATTACTGTGTACGTCTGTCCCGTATCTAATCTACGGGGATTCGCTAAACTTGTAATAAAGGTGACCCATGTAAACGCAGCGCCGCGGTTTGTCCCGTACCTAATCTACGGAGATTCGCTGTAATAAAGGTGACCCATGTAAATGCAGCGCCGCGGTTTGTCCCGTACCTAATCTACGGGGATTTGCTAAACTTGTAATAAAGGTGACCTATGTAAATGCAGCGCCGCGGTCTGTCCCGTACCTAATTTACGGGGATTCGCTAATCTTGTAATAAAGGTGACCCATGTAAACGCAGCGCCGCGGTCTGTCCCGTACCTAATCTACGGGGATTCGCTAATCTTGTAATAAAGGTGACCCATGTAAACGCAGCGCCTACGTTTGTCCCGTACCTAATCGATCTATGGGGTTTCGCTAATCTTGTAATAAAGGTGACCCATGTAAACGCAGCGCCGCGGTTTGTCCCGTACCTAATCTACGGGGATTCGCTAATCTTGTAATAAAGGTGACCCATGTAAACGCTTGTAATAAAGGTGACCCATGTAAACGCTTGTAATAAAGGTGACCCATGTAAACGCAGCGCCGCGGTCTGTCCCGTACCTAATCTACGGGGATTCGCTAATCTTGTAATAAAGGTGACCATGTAAACGCAGCGCCGCGGTTTGTCCCGTACCTAATCTACGGGGATTCGCTAATCTTGTAATAAAGGTGGCCCATGTAAACGCAGCGCCGCGGTTTGTCCCGTACCTAATCTACGTGGATTCGCTAATCTTGTAATAAAGGTGACCGATGTAAACGCAGCGTCGCGGTTTGTCCCGTACCTAATCTACGGGGATTCGCTAATCTTGTAATAAAGGTGACCCATGTAAACGCAGCGTCGCGGTTTGTCCCGTACCTAATCTACGGGGATTCGCTAATCTTGTAATAAAGGTGACCCATGTAAACGCAGCGCCGCGGTCTGTCCCGTACCTAATCTACGGGGATTCGCTAATCTTGTAATAAAGGTGACCCATGTAAACGCAGCGCCGCGGTTTTATAGAAATACAAACAAATTCAAATTACACAAAATTGAAATCAACATTTTACCAAATAAAGTCACATAATAAAGAAGTACTTAAAACGAACGAGAAATCATTAGATTTCGAATTTGTAGATAACGACCAGTGGCTTATAGTTGATATGCATGTCATATTTAAATACAGTTATAATTAGTTGAAATTCACGGCGTGAAAAATCTGAAGACAGATGAGGACATCGACGGGAATACATTTCACATCTGAAGTATATAATAACTAATTAAATAACTATGTGTTGAATAATATAATGTACAACATACTCACGTACCCGGGCCGGGTAGTAGGTTTAGTCTTCGAATACGACTAAGTGACGATACTGCGCAGTGAACACGAGATCAATCAACTGTGTGATGTTAAGTCTTAGCATATGGTCCTGATACTGTAAATTGCTGAATTGACAAAATATGTCAACATAAATATGTAAATAACTATAATACACGATTCGTGCACGATTTGCAGGTAGGGAGTGTTTGAAGACAAAGTTAACAGAGTGAAACCAAAAAAATAACATTCATGGCAGTTGAAATAAAATATACTAGTGTGATTTCACATTCAATCCATATTAAAATATCACGTGTTTACGTCGCATCTCAATCCTTCGTTGTAGTATTCCGTATTTACTGTTGATTGTTGGTCTGTAGAAACATTGTCATTGTAATATTACGACATAAACAGCAGTTTTAACTTGACAGAAAATATATTCGAAGCACTCATTGCGGTAAAACGACTGGGATTGGTTTGGAAGCAAGTTTGAGAATGAAATGTTTTATCGACTGCATATAATATTATTCATTAAACCCAATGATTTTCACTCGTTAGCATAGCACCACTCACTTTCATGGTTTTATAAAACAATATTTAAAAACTACTTTTATGATATTTGAACTTGTAATCTCCAGTATGTGTAGGATTTTCAGCTTTATCCAACATGTAAAATAAAGTACTTATCATGTTTAAGTTGCTGTCCTCGGCGATAACTATCCTCGACTATCTAAAATATTTCCACCATGTGAATCGTGTGTGCGAATTAGAGTACCGTCACGATATACAAACTAATAATCACAAAATACAACAAGAAAATACCGTTAAAGCAATGAATAAAAATGACTAGCATATTTTTAATATATAAATCGTGAGTGTAGCGTAACAAAATAATCTCAAAATAAAACAGTAAAACACACGAACTCAATGAATACACATAACTAACACAACCTGTGAACCAGCGTTAAT